GGAGCGTTGATAACAACTTGGGCTATCCTTGTCCTCTCTGGTCCGGATGACATGGCGTCCCAGTGTTCCATAAAGAACTTCAAATCGTGACTCATCTGACCACAGAACAGTCTTCCATTTTGCCACACTCCATTTTAAATGACCCCTGGCCCAGTGCAAACGTCTGAGTTTGTGGAGCTTGCTTAGAAATGGCTTCCTCTTTGCACTGTAGAGTTTCAGCTGGCAACGGCGGATGGCATGGTGGATTGTGTTCACTGACAATGCTTTCTGGAAGTATTCCTGAGCCCATTCTGTTATTTCATTGACAGTGGCATTTCTGTTCGAGGTGCAGTGACGTTTAAGGGCCCGGAGATCACGAGCATCCAGTAGAGTTTTACGGCCTTGACCCTTACGCACAGTGATTGTTCCAGATTCTCTGAATCTTTTGATGATGTTATGCACTGTTGATGAGGATAACTTAAAAGTCTTTGCTATTTTACGCTGAGTAACACCATTCTGGTATTGCTGCACTATCTTTCTGCGCAACAATGGTGGAATTGGTGATCCTCTTACCATCTTGGCTTCTGAGAGACACTGACACTCTGAGGAGCTCTTTTTATACCCAATCATGTTGTCAATTGACCTAATTAGTGTTAATTGGTCTTCCAGCTGTTCGTTATATGCTCAATTTCCTTTTTCCAGCCACTTATTGCTAATTGTCCCAACTTTTTTGGGATTTGTTGACACTGAAATTTTGAATCAACATATTTTTCCTTTAAAATGTTACATTTATTCAGATTAAACTTTTGATCTATCATCTGTTATATTACGAATAAAATATTGACATTTGCCATCTCCACATCATTGCATTCAGTTTTTAGTCACAATTTGTTTAGTGTCCCAACTTTTTTGGAATCCGGTTTGTACAGAAAGTACACACATGAAGACCAATCACGAGAATCTGCCACAAGCTGTGTGCGAAGCTTGTATACGCTTATCAGTTCAGCCGAGCTCACAGACTCAGAGGCGTCCTTGAAGTGCCAGCTGCATCCCTGCAGCCTCACTCAGCTCATCCATCTCTCTCTAACAACATAAACATATGATTCATGGGCAGAGTTAACATTCTCCTCCATAGTAGTTAAAAACATCCATAAACTCTTACCAAAATCTCACCAACAAAAATTTAACATAGTAGAAAAAAATTCTGACAATAGGAAAACAGTGAAACAAATATGGTATGTCTTCTATCACTCAGTATGTCTACAAATGGGTTCAAGTATGGCCAACATGAGAGGCACTGACAATCTTATGGTCACAATTCAAGGTGGCTACCTCAACAATGGAGGCATGAAACATTGCCCACTCAGATTCAACCCCCCCCCCCCCCCCCGACTACCACCACTTCTGCCAAGATACACTTGAAGAATTAAAGCTATTTCTAGCAGGTTCTTCTGCCAATCATTCTCGGCAAACCCTAATTACACATTTAGGTCTACTGGCGTACTACTTCGGCATCATCCCCTGCCATCTAATCCAACTTATCACCAGGCAGTAATCAGTTGACAGCTCAGCTCCTCTATTCACCCATGTCAAAAACATATGGCACAGCTAAGATGACAAAACTACAAAGTTTCATCTATTTAATCAGACTTCAGTTTCTTTAGCTTATCATGGCACTGCTTATAAGTCTAGGTGTTGCCATTCTGTTCCAACATCTCTGATATCTCTATGTAAATGCACTAATTTCTTGTGGTGCCATCTGACAACACTATCAGAGAGGAAATGGAGGCTCAGATGTAGTTTGCAGTTTTGCTACAGTGGCATAGCTCTGCTGATCAATCAATGGCTGCTGTCTGCTTACATCAAAATTGCCACCTCAGAGCAGTTTACTTGGACATACCAACAAGGTGTTCCATAAACCGGGCTGAGTGAGATCGGGTACCGGCAGTGGGCAGGCCCCTAACTGGTGCATTGTAGTACAGAACCGATGAGAGTTGAGACAGTGGCAAAGCATCATTAAAGCATTAGAGCACAGAGGAGCTACCTTATCATTTACCTAGGAAAATTCCTACACACAGATTCCAAGCAGGGAAGCTTTATTTAGGCTAACACTAGCTCGATGTCTCTCACCATGGGCAATTCCAGAGTGGAATAAGTTCAAGCCCCTCTTAAGGAAACTGATTACAAAACCCACAACATGCATTGTGGTGACTATATTTAGTTGGTACCTATCTGCCTCACACATAAGTTCTGGCTCCTTCCCTGTTGCAAAGGTTACAGTCCTTGCCCGAAGAGCCAGCTTTGGTAAGCAAAGGTTCCAAAGAGCACTAAGTCCCCTGCCTTTGGCTGACACTCTTAACACCAAACACCAAACTTGTATGGCCCCTCCTGCTGGTGGTGGGCTCACAGGAAGGTAAACCCATGTAACTTTTGGCAGACAGGGTACCATTGGTAGAGGCTGATTCACCAGGTGTTGGCCAACAATCCATTTCCCATGCCTGGTTCCAGGCCTTGGTAATCCATGTTTGGGCAAAGGACTTCGAGTTCCTTGCTGTCTTTTGCATAGAGGAGTATTGTGTTAACAATATATGGCAAAATAAAAAAGCAGAAATAATAATGTGAATGCCCAGTCAGCATTAACGTTTCAGTGTTTCGTGTTTCTGATAATCGGTCAGAGGAACTCAGCTGATTGTTTTAGGGTCTGGAAGGAATTTCTATTTTCAGTTAGCATGTTTATAGAAAAGAACAACTCGCAGCTGAAAGAGATTTTACATTTTAGATTCTGATACATGTTGACACTATTTTTAACAAGATGTTACTTATCATATATTTCTTTTGCTTTTTCAGGAATTGCCTGTATCGCCTTTTTGTTTGTGGATGCTCTCAGTCAGCCTGTTCAGATTGCAGCTCAGGATAGATCAGAGAACTCCAGCCTCCCTCTTCATCCAGAAAACTTTGAAGAGCTGACAAATGTGGTTAAAGTGGAGGACATCGAGACGAGCCACGATCCAGGTAGAAACAACATCTGTACACGTGATGCTATGTTATGGATAAGATAGAACCAGCCTCTCTGCAGGTGAATCTAACCAGAAATAGTTATTAGTATTGTCATTGAGAGAGTAGATCGTAAATTATATTTAGATGCTAACAGATATAATTTTTCTCCAACCCAGACTCTAGCCTGTCTAAATATATCCAACTGTGAACAATTTGGTCTATATACAGAAAACAAAATAAATGTAAAAATGTTTGCCTATAACTATACACCAAAACATAGCTTTTTTTTAAGATTACCAGTATCTATTTTTAGGTATAATTTTATCAGATTACAAAAACAATAAAAGACATCCATGGTTTGATATGACAAAAGACTTGAAAAACATCTATAGGACAAATTTTACAGAAGGGTTTCCCTGATAATAGGTAGGAGAATGGGAATAGTAGAATGGGAATTGTGAAAACCTGTTCATCGTTTCTATTCCACACTTTACCTGTAGACATCTCACCAAAACAATTAAAATAAACAAAGAAGAAAGAATATGCTATTTGTTGTCATCATTGTATATACAATGATGAAATTAGTTCTCTGCATTTAACCCATCATACGTGAGATACACCCAAGTGGAGCAGGGGGTAAGTGCCCCGGAAACAGTTATGGATTAGCTAGCTGTCTTGATCAAGGACACCATGGCATGTGGGCATGACGAGGAGTTGAACCTGCAACTTTCTGGTCCCAAGTCAGCTGCCCTACTTCTACACCACAGCCGCCCTAAACTTAAAGTGGAACAAAGTGATTTGTCAATTCGCCCTAAACTTAAAGTGGAACAAAGTGATTTGTCAATTCATGTGGCAAAGGCAAAAAAACCCAGCTTACAACTCAAAACCCTGCAACTACCAAAAGATTAGGGTGGACTGTTCCTATTCAGTATGCATACCGTGAGAACCGATCAACAGAGGATGCCATCTCCTCTGTGGTCCACACTGCGCTCAACCACCTGGAGCAGAAAAACTCTTACGTCCGTATGCTCTTTGTGGACTTCACATCCGCCTTCAACACCATGATCCCCCAAACCCTGATGGACAAACTATCCACACTAGGACTAAGCCCCTCCATCTGCAACTGGGTACTAGACTTTTTAACAAACAGACCACAGTTAGTGAGGATCCACAACCTCTCCTCCTCCACCATAACCCTCAGCACTGGCTCTCCTCAGGGATGTGTGTTGAGTCCCCTCCTGTTTACTCTGCTCATGTATGATTGTGCAGCTACCCATCCAGGCTGTCACATTGTAAAGTTTGCAGATGATACAGCGGTGGTGGGATGCATCACAAACAATGATGAGTCCAGCTACAGGCAAGAGGTGGAACACCTGGAGAGCTGGTGCAAAGAGAATAACCTTCACATCAATGTGAAGAAGACAAAGGAGATGATTGTGGACTTCAGAAGGAACAAAAACATCTACACCCCCCTGAACATAAGAGGATCTGCGGTGGAAGTGGTCTCCAGCTACAAGTACTTGGGTGTACACATGAATGACAACCTCAGCTGGAGCAACAACACCACCAGCCTGATCAAGAAAGCTCATCAGAGACTCTACTTCCTCAGACGGCTGAGGCGAGCTGGTCTGGGAAGCTCAGTCCTCACCTCCTTCTACAGGTGTGCAGTGGAGAGCATCCTGTGCTCGAGCATCAATGTGTGGCATGGAGGCTGCACAGCTGCAGAAAGAAAAGCTTTTCAGAGAGTGGTGAAGGCTGCACAGAAATCTGTCGGAATCAGCCTCCCCACCATCACAGACATCTACACCTCCAGATGCAGGAAGAAGGCCACCTGCATCATGAAGGACCCCACTCACCCAGCACACACACTTTTTGCCCCACTCCCCTCAGGAAGGAGGTTGAGGAGCATTAAGTGTAGAACCACTAGACTGAGGAACAGCTTCTACCCTGAGGCTGTTAGACTCATGAATCTCTAAGTAGAATAATCACTGAGAAAAACCATATCTTGTTGCTGTTGATCTGTTTCATGTTGCTGCTGATCTGTTTCAATGTTGATGTGTTCATGCGTGCACATCTGCTCACAGACTCATGTTCATGTTTGTGCCGATGTTCAATGTTTTTATGTTATGAGTGCTTAGTGTATATTTAGTTGATGTTTTTCTTAGTTCATATCTTAGATGTTATTACTGTTTTTCTTATACATTTTATTGTTGGATGTAACTGGGACCTTGTGTACATAATTTCGCTCCACCACATGTACCACATGAGGTGCGACTGACAATAAAGAAACTCTGACTCTGACTCTGACTGACTCTATTATGCTTGTAGGACTACAAAGCAGCACAATTTTAGTACTTTGTCCACAGCACAGTTAAATTCTTCACACTGCAGATAAAATTGGCCCAAATTGTGTCAGCCTATTGTTGAAGAGGGAGCTGAGCTGCAAGGTAAAGCACCCTGTTTATCAGTCGGTCTACATTCCTTACCCTAACCTACAGTTACACACTGTGGGAGGTGACCAAAAGAACAAGACCACAGATAAAACCAGTCAAAATGAGTTTCCTTCACGGGGCAGTTGAACTCTCCCTTGGAGATAGTGTATGAAATTCAGTTATCTGGGAGAGACTCAGAGTAGAACCGCTGCTCCTCCACATTGAGAGGAGCCAGTTGAGGTGGTTTGGGCATCTAGTAAGGATATCCCCTGGATGCCACCTTAAGGGGGTTTTCTGGGTCTGTCCAACTGCGATGAGACTCTAGGGAGGACCCAGGACAAGCTGGAGAGACTGTCTCTCGGCTGACCTGGGAATGCCTTTGCATCCTCCCAGTATAGCTATAATGGGTGTCTGGAAAGCATTGTTTTGTCTTCCCTGCTCAAGCTGCTCCCCACACAACCTGACTCTGAGACAAAAAAAAGGATGGATGGATGGATGACTGGAAAGTAGGAAGAAAATAAACAAATACAAAAAACTGTATTTGGGTATTAAGATTTCAGCATGAACAAAGTCTTGGCTGGTAAGTTTGGTAAATTGTCAAGTAAATGTTTTACCCCAAATGTGTGTTATGTTAGTGTCTCGCGGGTGTGGGGATACTCACAAGCCCCCCACCCCCAGCTGATTGCCTCAGTGTTGGAGTTTCCCCAATGAATTAGAGGAATGCCTCCTTGTGGATATGGGCTGCAGGACAAGAGATTCTCACAGTTTTTTGTGCTTATGCACCAAACATCTGTTCAGCTTACCCAGCCTTTCTGGACTCTGATGATGATGTTCTGGAAGGGGTTCCATCTGGAGATGTCCTTGTTCTACTGGGTGACTTCAATGTCTGTGTGAGCAATAACGGAGTCATCTGGAAGGGTGTTATTGGGAAGAACAGACTGAACTGGGAACAGTTAGTGGAGTCCCCAGTCTGTGCGACTTTCATCTCATACCTCCAGTATAGATTTTCCCATAACCTGGGGGAGGTCGGGGGCATGGAATCTGAATGAGCCATGTTTAAGGCCGTCTACTGCAGATGCGGCTTCCGGAAACTGTGTCCTGAAGGTCATTGGTGCCTGTCAGGGCAGCAACCAAAGTAACCACAGGCTGTCAAGTTGAAGAAAGAGGCCTTCAGGACTTGGCTGCCTCGGAGGACTCCTGAAGCAGCTGACAGATACAGGATGGCCAGAAAAACTGCAGCTTTTGTGGTTGCAGATGCAAAATCTCGGGCATGGGAGAACTTTTGGCCATTATTAGGGAAGTTCTGGCAAACCATTTGGTGCACTGATGATGTACTGAAACACAGCTCTGTTCTATTGCCTCCACATTCATGGACCCCTAATAACTAGCATAAGTGAAAAATAGAATACTGCACAATACTTTTTGCTTTTTCTGCTCCTAGGTGGCACACACTCTTTTGAACTCCCATAAACATTACTAAAAAGACACACCGGTATTTATATTGGCAACAAAAGGGAAAAAACTAGATATACTTTAAATCTATGTATTTGATCACTGAGATTTGTTAACTTTTTGATTGATTTGGGATCTTTTTAAATGTTCTTGTTCAAATCATTTTTATATAAAACGTTAATAAAAAAAAAGTAAAATAAATAAAACTACAAAAAGTCAGAGGTGTGAATATTTTAGGAAGCTGCTGTGCTTTCCAAGTTTGTTGATTAGCCGTGAAAATTCTCAGTTTACTGAAGACATGAAGTTGAAGAGTTATTTACACCTTTAAGTCTTAAACAGTTTAAACTCAAAGACATTCAAGGTTATACAATAAATGGAGCTGGGTGATTAGGAATATCACTCAGAATTGTATAGTACTTTGTATTTAATAAACAAATGCACAAACAAAAATTTAACCTGTAATTTGGAGAAAAATAAAACTCATAAAGAGCATTAACTCATTGCACATTTTTGCTCAATAATGTTTTCTTTAAATTACACCGATGCTCCAAAGTCTATTTAAAGTTGTCTGTTATCAAACTTATAATTTATCTTTTACACATTCTACTGTACTTGTCAGAGACAGCATGATTCCTGTTGTTGTCTTTTTTTTGTTTTTGGGACTCAAACAGAAAGTAAGAATCAGTTACACGTGTTTCCTTTTAACCAGCAGGACAGCTGTACGTGCGTTTTGACATCTGGGAGCAGGGTAACGTCAGTCCATTGCAGCTGAGCGATAAACTGCAGGGGGCACTGCGCCATGCCCTCTGTGACGTAATCATGGAGACAAGAGTTCTGCCACACCCTTTGTGTGTTGGATCTTCAGTAAGCACAAGTCAGAAGGAAGAGTCCAAAGGTAAGACCTTGACTCAAGCTTTTAACTTTTAAACTGTTCAGTTTGTTAAAGTTAATTTATAAACAAAATCAATTAACTGAAAATCTAAAAAAGTTAAATCTGGTCCTCTGGACATGCAAAAAACCCCAAAACAAAGCAAAACAACAAAACCTGAGAGGGTGAATAGTACACAGCCATCAGTGTGCTAATGATCCATTGTTAGGCTGATGGTCCTTCTTGAGCATGTGATCAGCTGGTTTTGGTTGTCAGCAGCAAACTGGTTGATCCACTCTGAGAAGGTGCTATTTAAGAGACTGAGCTGAAAACAGCACCTCAGACTGAAGAAGTCTCTCGGACGAGAGATGAAACGTTTCTACATTTTTTGTTGTTTTGCTTTGTTTTGGGTTTTTTTGCATGTCCAGAGGACCAGATTCAACTTTTTTAGATTTTTCTACCTGGATTATTGAGCATGCATCAGGAAATTAACTGAAAAGTTTCTGCAGATATATGGACAGCACGGTGGCTCAGTTAGTAGAGCTGTTGCCTTTCAGCGAGAAGGTCGCCGGTTCAAATCCCAGCCAGGAACATTTCTGGGTTGAGTTTGCATGTTCTCTCCGTGCATGCGTGGGTTTTCTCCGGGTACTCCAGTTTCCTCTCGCAGACCAAAAACATGCATGTTAGACTGATTGGTAACTCTAAATTGTCTCTAGGTGTGAGTGAAAGAGTGAATAGTTGTTTGTCTCGTTTGTCTCTATGTGTCCCTGTGATGGACTGGAGACCTGTCCAGGGTGTCCCCCTCCTCTCGCACAGTGACTGCTGGATATGGGCACCAGTGACCCCTGTGAACTGTGCATTCCTGTTGATGATACAGTAGAGGTGGTCAGTTTAAGATTAAAATCAGACACGACTCTGAGCAGCAGGACCACGCTTTCCACAGAACAACTGTGTCAACTCTTGAAACTGTGCCTGCAGTCAACCTACTTCACATATGGGAAGCAATATTATAAGCAGAAACATGGGTGTGCTATGGGGTCTCCAGTTTCTCCTATTGTTGCCAACCTGTACATGGAGGAGGTAGAAAAGAGAGCCTTGACGTCCTTTTCAGGGACACCACCAAGTCATTGGTTCAGGTATGTTGACGACACCTGGGTTAAAATTAAATCTCAGGAAGTCCAACATTTTACTGACCACATCAACTCTGTGGATAAATACATCAAGTTCACACGAGAAGGTATAAAAAATGGCAGGTTGTCTTTCTTGGACTGTGAGGTCTCAGTTTCTGATAGAGAACATTTGCAAACTGAGGTGTACCGCAAACCCACCCACACAGACCAGTATTTGCAGTTTGACTCCCATCACACTTTGGAGCACAAGTTAGGAGTCATCAGGACTCTGTATCACAGAGCAGACAGCGTCCCCACTAGCTCAGGAGCCAGGCAGAAGGAGAAATCCCACACAAGACAGGCTCTAGAGCAATGTGGATACCCTAACTGGGCCTTCCTGAAAGCAGAGAAGAAACCCAAACAGGACTCCAGTCAGCCAACAGGTGAAAAGGAGGAACCCAGACCCAGACCAGTGGTCATTCCATATCATATGTTGAGGGAGTATCAGAGAAACTGAGACGTTTATTTTCTAAACATAACGTCCCAGTGGCTTTTAAACCCCAAAAAACATTACGGCAAAGACTGGTTCATCCCAAAGATCCAGTCCCCCGGCACAAACAGAGTAATGTTGTGTATGCTGTTCAGTGTCAGGAGGGTGATCAGTCTAACATCGGGGAAACAAAACAGCCACTGGCCAAAAGGATGGACCAGCACAGAGGATCAACATCATCAGGCCAGGACTCTGCGGTCTACACTCATCTCCAGGCCAGCGGTCACTCTTTCAGGGATGAAGATGTTCACATCCTTGATAGAGAGAAACAATGGTTTGAGAGAGGAGTAAAGGAGGCCATTTTTGTGAGGAGAACCCATCCATTGTTAAACAGGGGTGGAGGCCTCTGTATTCAACTGTCCCTCTCTAACAGTGCTAGTATCACTCAGCCCTCTGTGAATGTCAAGCGGCTATCAGGGCACTATCAGTTGTTAGGCTGATGATCCTTCTTTTGTATGTGAACAACTAGTTCTAGCTTTTGGATAAAATACGAAATGTTTCAATAAAAAGAATCTGCCCAGAACCTGACTTTGTTAGATCACTCAGCCAAACTTGTTGACTTTTTTTTTTTTTTTACCAAGTCTGAACAGAAAATATATGATCGAACCTGCAGAGACACACTGTCAACACAAAGGAAAGATAGAGCCAAGCCCTAAACTATGTTTATGTTGCTTTAATAATCTAATTTTTGTTTCTTTTATTTTTAAGCTACAGATATAAAACGGTTGTAGATGATCCTCTTTTTTTCTTGATTCTGAACCATCCTCAATACTGGGAACAGTGTTGAAACTTTATTTTTTCTGAGTGTCATTATGCAATGTTTGTGTGTGTGTGCTTTTTGTGTGTGCGTGTGTGTAGGGCAAGTGATTTGTTCATCTGAGATGCAAGAAGTAAAGGCCAGCCCCCGACAGTGCAGTGGCCCCAGTGTCTTCGGGAGCAGTCCCTCTCCCATCAACATAACCCAAGTTGGTGGTTCTCCTGTGACTGGGACCAGCACCCCCGAATCAACCACACCCACCAATAAGAGCACACGCCGAAGCTTCTGGGACATACTGGTCTGTTTCCAACAATTTGAAACTTTTAGTGAAAAGATGGGTCCTCCAGGAGCAAACTGCCAAGCCATTGATTACATTAATTTTTTTATTTAGCTTTTTATTGCTGTTTTTTTTTTTTTTCAGTTATTATTTATCTGCAACATAACTTTGTTGCAGAGTGTTGTTTGAAAGTGTTTGCTTGTTTTTCATTCCATCAGAGTAAACCAGATTCAGGTGAGCTGGGCAGCCCAAAGACAACGGATGACATCGTGCAGGAAAAGGGAGATGAGGGGCGAGCGGCTCGACGAAGGCACAAAACAGAGAACGTAAAGCAGCAATGGAGCCAGGAGAGGGCTGTGGCTGTGGAGCTGGAGCAGGCCCACAGGTGGGTGATGGAGAATGAGTGTCAGACTGAAGTGAAGTTTTCTTTCTGATTCTAGCTCTTTCACAAACAAAGCTGAACTTCAGTGAACACACGAATAAAGCACACTTTGATTTGATATTAAGATTTAACTTTCTTTTCAGCTACCGACAGTCAGTATGATTTTTGTTACACAAGAAGTTCTGCAGATGTACATGTGATTATTGTTGCATGGATGCTCATTTATTGTTAAAAATAAACATTTAAAATTCAGATGACTGCATTATAAGCCCCAAAAAATGACTGTGTGTGTGTGTAGGAGGCAGGTGTCTCAGTTGGAGGAGGGAGATGCAGGAACTTTGCACCCCGTCTACCAGAACATCGGCCAACTGTGGATCACTTTCATGGCTAAACTGGGTTAGTTCCTCCTGTTTAAACAACAAAAACAAACAGATAATTTATAATAATATTTTCTGTTAAAATGCAGTGATGCCAGGAGGTGAAGGACTTTATTATTGTTTTTATTAACTGGACTGGTAACAGTTAAAGAAGTTAACTGAACATAAAAAGTACAAAAGTTACAAATAATGAAAGTCATTGCACACTATTTTTTTAAATTACCGGAATCTGAATTGTTAAATGTTTTGAAATATACCGTAGATGTTTAAAATAGAGGTGGCATGGTGGCGCTGTTGGTAGAGCTGTCACCTTCTCAGTGAAAAGGTTGCCGGACTGAATCTCAACGCGGCCTTTCTTGGTGGAGTTTGCATGTTCTGTCCTCATACTACGGTTTCCTCCCACAGACCAAAAACATGCATGTTAGGCTGATTGGTAACTCTAAATTGTCCCTAGGTGTGAGTGAGAGAGTGAATGGCTATTTTGTTTCTATGCGGCCCTGTGATGGACTTGCAACCTGTCCAGGGTGTAGCTCTCTTCTTGCACAGTGACTGTTGCACATGAGCACCTGCAACCCCTGCAACCTGGAAAGGATGAAGCGGGTAACGGTGATGGATGAATGTTTAAAATAATATAAAGTATGATGGATTAATTCAATTCTAATAAACATAGAGAAGATACTATCATTTTTTGTGTTTTCTCCCTTCTTGTTTTTGTCTCTGTGAATCTGGGCTGCTGGGGAACAGGCTGCCCCTCCATTCAGCAGTGCACAACTGAAATAGCATTCAACTTCCTGCTGCCATCCATTTTGACAGAGATTGTAAGTTTGGTCACCTCGTTGGCGAGTGACACCACAGTGAAGGCCTTTAGGAAGATCAGGTGAGTGTTTGTGCAGAAATCTCCACCTTAGAACCAAATACAGACACAGCTTAAAGGTCAAACTTTATAAAGAGAATCTGTCCAATTTGTTCTCTGTTAAATTATGATTGAAGAAAAACAAGCTAAATATTAAACTGTCAGAGTGAATGGCCTTTCACATGTAGGGCACAACATTCATCTAGTCACTGTAAAACATGGAAGGAGTTTGTTTGGAAAGTGTTAATATGTTGTTTTATTAAAACTTTACATAAAAACAAACAACTACACACAACAGCAGTGCTGGAGACGATGCAGACATGGAAATGCCAATCACTCACATTTTTTGGACGTGTCATTGACATTTTGCCAAAGTTTTAAAACTGGATCTTGCACTATCCATTATTAAAGTATGAGTTTGGGATCACTTTCTACTAAGAGCAGACTAATTTTCTCAAAAGCTCAATATATGTAAAATTGGCTGAATTTTATCTTTTTTGTTTTTGTTTTCTAAGGTGAATTGGATACTTTATATCATTACAGTAGTATTGACATTACTATGGTGATACCATTACATCAGCCCTGAATGGCTGGCACTTGTTTTTTAGGAGGGATCCAAATTGACAAGTCAGTCGTCATTCAAAAACAAGCTCATCTTTTTCTCTAGGCTCCTCATAAAGTATGCTCGCCTCATAGCCCTGGAGGAGCTGAAGCCACTGATAGAATAGACCAGGGTAATAGTATGTAGAATCCAGTGACAACGGCATTGCTTATACATTGGCTTTCATATCTGTGGATTTGTCAAGGACATAAATAACTGGTCACTTTTCATGAAACACTGGATACTGTCCCCACAAATTAATTAAACACAGACTGGACACCAAGTGTTGAAATGCTTTTGTTTATCTAAGGTAAAAGGTGGAGAGTAGAAGCAAGTCAGCTCTGTAGGAAAGCATGAACCCATGACGTTTGACACAAAGGTCACAGACTGACCCTGACATTATTAGGGGGAAACTGTGTATGTGCCTGAGGCATATACAACACACACACACACACACACACACACACACACACACACACACACAAACACACACACA